GAGACCTCCCAGATAGAGACCTCCTAGACAGAGACCTCCCAGAGGGAGACCTCCCAGATAGAGACCTACCAGACAGAGACCTTCCAGATAGAGACCTCCCAGACAGAGACCTCCCAGAGAGAGACCTCCCAGATAGAGACCTCCTAGACAGAGACCTCCCAGAGGGAGACCTCCCAGATAGAGACCTCCCAGACAGAGACCTCCCAGAGAGAGACCTCCCAGATAGAGACCTCCTAGACAGAGACCTCCCAGATAGAGACCTCCCAGATAGAGACCTCCTAGACAGAGACCTCCCAGACAGAGACCTCCCAGAGAGAGACCTCCCAGATAGAGACCTCCTAGACAGAGACCTCCCAGACAGAGACCTTCCAGACAGAGACCTCCCAGAGAGAGACCTCCCAGATAGAGACCTCCTAGACAGAGACCTCCCAGAGGGAGACCTCCCAGATAGAGACCTCCCAGATAGAGACCTCCCAGATAGAGACCTCCTAGACAGAGACCTCCCAGAGGGAGACCTCCCAGATAGAGACCTCCCAGATAGAGACCTCCCAGATAGAGACCTCCTAGACAGAGACCTCCCAGACAGAGACCTCCCAGAGAGAGACCTCCCAGATAGAGACCTCCTAGACAGAGACCTCCCAGAGAGAGACCTCCCAGATAGAGACCTCCTAGACAGAGACCTCCCAGACAGAGACCTCCCAGAGAGAGACCTCCCAGATAGAGACCTCCTAGACAGAGACCTCCCAGAGGGAGACCTCCCAGACAGAGACCTCCCAGAGGGAGACCTCCCAGAGAGAGACCTCCCAGAGAGAGACCTCCCAGATAGAGACCTCCTAGACAGAGACCTCCCAGAGAGAGACCTCCCAGATAGAGACCTCCTAGACAGAGACCTTCCAGACAGAGACCTCCCAGAGAGAGACCTCCCAGATAGAGACCTCCTAGACAGAGACCTCCCAGAGGGAGACCTCCCAGATAGAGACCTACCAGACAGAGACCTCCCAGACAGAGACCTCCCAGAGGGAGACCTCCCAGAGAGAGACCTCCCAGAGAGAGACCTCCCAGATAGAGACCTCCTAGACAGAGACCTCCCAGATAGAGACCTACCAGACAGAGACCTTCCAGACAGAGACCTCCCAGATAGAGACCTCCCAGATAGAGACCTCCCAGATAGAGACCTCCCAGACAGAGACCTCCCAGAGGAAGACCTCCCAGATAGAGACCTACCAGACAGAGACCTCCCAGATAGAGACCTCCCAGACGGAGACCTCCCAGATAGAGACCTCCCAGACAGAGACCTCCCAGAGAGAGACCTCCCAGATAGAGACCTCCCAGATAGAGACCTCCCAGATAGAGACCTCCCAGATAGAGACCTCCTAGACAGAGACCTCCTAGACAGAGACCTCCCAGAGGGAGACCTCCCAGATAGAGACCTACCAGACAGAGACCTTCCAGATAGAGACCTCCCAGACAGAGACCTCCCAGAGAGAGACCTCCCAGATAGAGACCTCCTAGACAGAGACCTCCCAGAGGGAGACCTCCCAGATAGAGACCTCCCAGATAGAGACCTCCCAGATAGAGACCTCCTAGACAGAGACCTCCCAGACAGAGACCTCCCAGAGAGAGACCTCCCAGATAGAGACCTCCTAGACAGAGACCTCCCAGACAGAGACCTCCCAGACAGAGACCTCCCAGAGAGAGACCTCCCAGATAGAGACCTCCTAGACAGAGACCTCCCAGAGGGAGACCTCCCAGATAGAGACCTCCCAGATAGAGACCTCCTAGACAGAGACCTCCCAGAAGGAGACCTCCCAGACAGAGACCTCCCAGACAGAGACCTCCCAGAGAGAGACCTCCCAGATAGAGACCTCCTAGACAGAGACCTCCCAGAGAGAGACCTCCCAGATAGAGACCTCCTAGACAGAGACCTCCCAAAGGGAGACCTCCCAGACAGAGACCTTCCAGACAGAGACCTCCCAGAGAGAGACCTCCCAGATAGAGACCTCCTAGACAGAGACCTCCCAGAGGGAGACCTCCCAGACAGAGACCTCCCAGAGGGAGACCTCCCAGAGAGAGACCTCCCAGAGAGAGACCTCCCAGATAGAGACCTCCTAGACAGAGACCTCCCAGATAGAGACCTACCAGACAGAGACCTTCCAGACAGAGACCTCCTAGACAGAGACCTCCCAGATAGAGACCTCCCAGATAGAGACCTCCCAGAGGAAGACCTACCAGACAGAGACCTCCCAGAGGGAGACCTCCCAGACGGAGACCTCCCAGATAGAGACCTCCTAGACAGAGACCTCCCAGAGGGAGACCTCCCAGAGAGAGACCTCCCAGATAGAGACCTCCTAGACAGAGACCTCCCAGATAGAGACCTCCCAGATAGAGACCTCCCAGAGGAAGACCTACCAGACAGAGACCTACCAGACAGAGACCTCCCAGATAGAGACCTCCCAGATAGAGACCTCCCAGAGGAAGACCTACCAGACAGAGACCTCCCAGACAGAGACCTCCCAGAGGGAGACCTCCCAGAGAGAGACCTCCCAGATAGAGACCTCCCAGACAGAGACCTCCCAGAGGGAGACCTCCCAGAGGGAGATCTCCAAGATGGAGACATCCCAGTTAGAGACCTCCCAGTTAGAGACCTCCCAGATAGAGACCTCCTAGACAGAGACCTCCCAGAGGGAGACCTCCCAGAGGGAGATCTCCAAGATGGAGACATCCCAGTTAGAGACCTCCCAGAGAGAGACCTCCCAGAGAGAGATCTCCAAGATGGAGACATCCCAGACAGAGCCCTCCCAGATGGAGACATCCTAGACAGAGCCCTCCTAGACATAGACCTCCCAGAGAGAGATCTCCAAGATTGAGACCTCCCAGAGGGAGACCTCCCAGACAGAGACCTCCCAGAGGGAGACCTCCCAGACAGAGATCTCCAAGATGGAGACATCCCAGACAGAGTCCTCCCAGATGGAGACATCCTAGACAGAGTCCTCCCAGATGGAGACATCCCAGACAGAGTCCTCCTAGACATAGACCTCCCAGAGGGAGACCTCCCAGACAGAGATCTCCAAGATGGAGACATCCCAGACAGAGTCCTCCCAGATGGAGACATCCTAGACAGAGTCCTCCCAGATGGAGACCTCCCAGATGGAGACATCCCAGACAGAGTCCTCCCAGATGGAGACATCCCAGACAGAGCCCTCCTAGACATAGACCTCCCAGAGAGAGATCTCCAAGATTGAGTCCTCCCAGATTGAGACCTCCCAGATGGAGACATCCCAGATGGAGACATCCCAGATGGAGACCTCCCAGATGGAGACCTCCCAGATGGAGACATCCCAGATGGAGACCTCCCAGATGGAGACCTCCCAGATGGAGACCTCCCAGATGGAGACATCCCAGATGGAGACCTCCCAGTTTCATCCAAATGCTGTTCAGATGATGAGGCTGGAGGTCTGTAACAGCAGGCTGGTGTGCATCAGCATCAGCTCCTACAAAGCAGGCTTTTCATTTCCCCTCTGATATTAATATCCGCCCGCAGACGAACAGGCTGAATGTGAGCTTTCATTATCTGCCCTCAGGCTGCTGTGGAGATCACTTCTGCTGATGAAAACACAACCAGATAATGAAGAAATGCTGCAGATCTGGTTCCCAAAACAGACTGGAAACGTACCTGCAGCAGGTAGATGTAAATGCGACTGCTTACTCTGACTGGAACATCAAACTTGTTTCCTCCATTGATGCAAAGAGCTTTTAGAACTATCTACTGAAGAAAGTCCGTCAGACGGACTAAAACTGGTAGTTGGTTCCACAGGAGAGGAGCCTGATAACTAAAAGATCTGCCTCCCATTCTACTTTTAGAAATTCTAGGAACCACTAGTAAACCTGCAGATTGAGAGCGAAGTGCTCTGTTAGGAACATAAGGAACAATCAGATCTCTGATATCAGATGGAGCTTGGCCATTTAAGGCTTTATATGTGAGAAGGAGGATTTTAAATTCTATTCTTGATTTAACAGGAAGCCAATGAAGAGAAGCCAGGATAGGAGAGATATGATCTCTCTTTTTCATTTTCATCAGAACTCTGGCTGCAGCATTTTGGATCAGCTGAAGGCTTTTAACTACAGTTTGTGGACTTCCTGATAGTAAAGAATTACAATAGTCCAGCCTTGAAGTAACAAATGCATGGACTAGTTTCTCAGCATCACCCCTGGACAGGAGATTGCTCATTTCTGCAATATTCCTCAGATGAAAGAAGGAAATTTTAGAAACCTCTTTGATCTGGGATTTAAATGACAGGTCCTGATCAAAAATAACACCAAGATTTTTTACTTTATTATCTGAAATCAGTTTAATCCAAATGAAGTGAATTCTGAGCAGCTAATAGATAAACAATAAATTAATCAGATTATCATATAAAAACCAGATTTAATTATTTATAGTATTACCTTTAATTATAAAAGGGTACAAATAATTGTATCTTTATTTGCCTTATTTTACATCTCATTATTAAAGACTCATCATTTATTTATATTTATTTTTTTTTTACCTATATTAGATTTTTTATTTTTTTTAAATTAACCTCTTATAAAGATCCAGACCTGAAAGATGTATATTCAGCTGATTTCCAGCATTATAGACCTTCCTGATGTCTGCAGAGCATCTGGAAAATAAACTGCAGCTTTAGATTTTAAAGATTTATTTATAGGAAAAATATAAAATGATGATTATTATTGTTTTTAAACTTATCTGATCATAAATCATCCTTTAAATGTAGCTGCTCTTCCTGTATGAACCAGAGGGGGCAGCAGAGTTCAGCTAATATGCCTCCTGCTCTGCTCCGGGATTCCTGCTCCGGGTTTTCCCGCCATCCACCTCCAACTAGCGGCTTCATTCTCTCTCTCTCTCTCTCTCTCTCTCTCTCTCTCCCCAGCTGGATGTTTCTAAAGGGAAAAAGGAGAGAGACCCCCCCCTCCTCCCCCTGCTCCTCCTGCTCCTCCTGCTCCCTCAGTCCTGCCGGCAGACGGAGCAGACCTCCGGGAAGGCAGCGCGGATCGCGGCGCTGCTGCAGCTGAGGAAGAGGAGGAGCAGGAATGATGAAGAATCAGAGGAACTTCTCTCCTTCCTCCTCCTGAACCTCCTGATTGGCTCTGAGCTTTGCTTCCTTTTCTTTTTGGAGGAATTTGAGGAGCAGAGAGGTTGTTTTCTGCATCCTCCTCTTCCTCCTCCTGCCCTGTTTCATGTGGTCTCACTGACAGCTGGACTCTGCAGGATCTGGGAGAACCTTCTGGATCAGCTTTCCTCCTGACCTCGGAGCGTCCAGCATGGAGCTGGGAGAAGATGGATGTAGTGGAGATGCTTGGAGGCTGCTGGATGGGCTGAGGATGAGGAGGAGGAGGACAGGAGGAGGCTACCTGCTGCTCTGCCTGCTGCTGGCGGCACGCGACTCAGCCCAGGGTGAGGAGCACAGTCTGAGAGGGAGATGATGGTTCTACTGGTTCTGATGGTTCTGCTGGTTCTGATTGTTCTGCTGGTTCTGCTGGTTCTGCTGGTGCTGATTGTTCTGCTGGTTCTGCTGGTGCTGATTGTTCTGCTGGTTCTGATTGTTCTGCTGGTTCTGATGGTTCTGATTGTTCTGCTGGTTCTGATGGTTCTGCTGGTGCTGATTGTTCTGCTGGTTCTGCTGCAGCAGGGAGAACCTCAGCCTGTTCTGGACCAACCAGCTTGGATGGAGCGGGTCCCAGTGGCACCTCCACCAATGTCTCATGGGGGGGGGGGGCAGATGGGGCCACTAAAGATGTTGGGGGGGCCACTGACACTAAAAGCCATCATTTCAGGGTTTAATCTACTATAGAGGTAAACCTGCCTGTAGAAATCAGAAGACTTCAGGAAGCAGCTCCTCAGGTCCTTCTTCAATGACTGGTTTTTAATGTTACGTCACTGGCAGAATGGGAGGGAATGATAAACTGATGCAATACAATTTACACAGGTGAGTGGGGCGGCCAGCGGGGGGCCAGTGGGGCGGCCAGTGGGCGGCCAGCGGGTGACCAGTGGGGCGGCCAGTGGGCGGCCAGCGGGGGGGCCAGTGGGGCGGCCAGTGGGCGGGCACCCCATGTAGCTGTCCTCCAGCAGTGCCTGAGCAGCCAGGCGATTGGGTAACTGTACGCAGAAAGCGTAGTCGTGGATCTCTGCCCACTGGTCACCACCAACCCGTTCACCTTTCTAACCGGTTTTCCCCACTCAGTGACACACCCACTGAGAAGCCCACTCTGGTGATTGGCAGCTCCATAGGCAGAAACGTGGCGTTAGAGACACCAGGGACCATAGTCAAATGTTTGCCGGGGGCCAGAACGGGCGACATCAAATCCTACCTGAAACTACTGGCTAAGGATAAGGTTAAATACAGTAAGATTGTTATTCACGCTGGTGGTAATGACACCCGGTTACGCCGATCGGAGGTCACTAAAATTAGTGTTGCTTCGGTGTGTAAGTTTGCCAAAAAAATGTGGGACTCTGTAATTTTCTCTGGTCCCCTCCCTGATCTGACCAGTGATGACATGTTTAGCCGCATGTCGTCATTCAACCGCTGGTTGTCTAGGTGGTGCCCTGAAAACAACGTGGGCTACATTAATAATTGGCAATCCTTTTGGGGAAAGCCTGGTCTGATTCGGAGAGACGGCATCCATCCCACTTTGGATGGTGCAGCTCTTCTTTCTAGGAATCTGGCCACATTTATTAGTCCTCCAAAACCCTGACCCCCCAGGGTGCAGACCAGGAAGCAGAGTTGTAGTTTAACACACATCTCTGCAGCTTCTCTACTGTTACCCACTCTTTACTCCATCCAGACAAGGCCACTTTATTTTTATAACTCAGTTCAGTGCAAGGACGATTCAAAGTGCTTTACACAAATTAAATTAATAAAACAGAAGCAAAAGAAAACCAGGATTAAAAGCAAATAAAAAGAAACTGGATAAAAATCTCTCTCCTTTTTCCTCGTCTATGAAAGCAAACATGATTGAATGTTTTCAGGATGGTTCTGGGCGTGTTCCCATGGTGCTGGTCGCTCTTATTCCCAGAAGGTATCAGACGGGCGCCGTTTGGTTCCGACCGGCTGCCTTCCTCTCCTTCACCTGCTCCCATGTTTGGAGAGGAGGATGAAAGCCCTGAGGGGATCGATAGGTCCTGAACCGCGCCGCCATCAGTAAGGAGGCATCGATCCTCCAACCGCCCGCCTGATGCTCCAACAGCTGCTGATGGAGGAAGCTGCCATTTTCCTGCTGACCATCAGAATATTGATCCTGAAGAGGATGATGAGGATGATGATGGTGCTGAGGAAGATGATGATGATGATGTTGATGATGGTCATGAGGAAGATGATGATGATGATGGTGTTGATGATGATGAGGAAGATGATGATGATGATGTTGATGATGGTCATGAGGAAGATGATGATGATGATGATGGTGTTGATGATGATGAGGAAGATGATGATGATGATGTTGATGATGGTCATGAGGAAGATGATGATGAGGAAGATGATGAAGATATCGATGATGAAGATGATGATGATGTTGATGATGGTCATGAGGAAGATGATGATGAGGAAGATGATGATGAGGAAGATGAGGAAGATGATGATGATGTTGATGATGGTCATGAGGAAGATGATGATGAGGAAGATGATGAAGATATCGATGATGAAGATGATGATGATGTTGATGATGGTCATGAGGAAGATGATGATGATGATGATGGTGATGATGATGGTGATGAAGATGATGATGATGTGATGAAGATGATGAAGTTGATAATGATGATGATGCTGATATTGATGATGAAGATGCTGGTGATGAAGATGATGATGATGGTGATTGGCAGGAAACATTACAGCTAAATTCTGATTATGAACAATACTCATGAACAGGAGTAAAGAACAGGAAGTTGGAGATATATGGAGTTGGTCAGTCTGTAGACTGCTGGTTGGAGTGGAGATATATGGAGTTGGTCAGTCTGTAGACTGCTGGTTGGAGAGGAGATAGATGGAGTTGGTCAGTCTGTAGACTGCTGGTTGGAGAGGAGATAGCTGGAGTTGGTCAGTCTGTAGACTGCTGGTTGGAGAGGAGATAGATGGAGTTGGTCAGTCTGTAGACTGCTGGTTGGAGAGGAGATAGCTGGAGTTGGTCAGTCTGTAGACTGCTGGTTGGAGTGGAGATATATGGAGTTGGTCAGTCTGTAGACTGCTGGTTGGAGAGGAGATAGATGGAGTTGGTCAGTCTGTAGACTGCTGGTTGGAGAGGAGATAGCTGGAGTTGGTCAGTCTGTAGACTGCTGGTTGGAGAGGAGATAGATGGAGTTGGTCAGTCTGTAGACTGCTGGTTGGAGTGGAGATAGATGGAATTGGTCAGTCTGTAGACTGCTGGTTGGAGTGGAGATAGATGGAGTTGGTCAGTCTGTAGACTGCTGGTTGGAGAGGAGATAGATGGAGTTGGTCAGTCTGTAGACTGCTGGTTGGAGTGGAGATAGATGGAATTGGTCAGTCTGTAGACTGCTGGTTGGAGTGGAGATAGATGGAGTTGGTCAGTCTGTAGACTGCTGGTTGGAGAGGAGATAGATGGAGTTGGTCAGTCTGTAGACTGCTGGCTGGAGTGGAGATAGATGGAGTTGGTCAGTCTGTAGACTGCTGGTGGAGTGGAGATAGATGGAATTGGTCAGTCTGTAGACTGCTGGTTGGAGAGGAGATAGATGGAGTTGGTCAGTCTGTAGACTGCTGGTTGGAGAGGAGATAGATGGAGTTGGTCAGTCTGTAGACTGCTGGTTGGAGAGGAGATAGATGGAGTTGGTCAGTCTGTAGACTGCTGGTTGGAGTGGAGATAGATGGAGTTGGTCAGTCTGTAGACTGCTGGCTGGAGTGGAGATAGATGGAGTTGGTCAGTCTGTAGACTGCTGGTTGGAGAGGAGATAGATGGAGTTGGTCAGTCTGTAGACTGCTGGTTGGAGAGGAGATAGATGGAGTTGGTCAGTCTGTAGACTGCTGGTTGGAGTGGAGATAGATGGAGTTGGTCAGTCTGTAGACTGCTGGTTGGAGAGGAGATAGATGGAGTTGGTCAGTCTGTAGACTGCTGGTTGGAGTGGAGATAGATGGAGTTGGTCAGTCTGTAGACTGCTGGTTGGAGTGGAGATAGATGGAGTTGGTCAGTCTGTAGACTGCTGGCTGGAGTGGAGATAGATGGAGTTGGTCAGTCTGTAGACTGCTGGTTGGAGAGGAGATAGATGGAGTTGGTCAGTCTGTAGACTGCTGGTTGGAGTGGAGATAGATGGAATTGGTCAGTCTGTAGACTGCTGGTTGGAGAGGAGATAGATGGAGTTGGTCAGTCTGTAGACTGCTGGCTGGAGAGGAGATAGATGGAGTTGGTCAGTCTGTAGACTGCTGGTTGGAGTGGAGATAGATGGAATTGGTCAGTCTGTAGACTGCTGGTTGGAGTGGAGATAGATGGAGTTGGTCAGTCTGTAGACTGCTGGTTGGAGAGGAGATAGATGGAATTGGTCAGTCTGTAGACTGCTGGTTGGAGAGGAGATAGATGGAGTTGGTCAGTCTGTAGACTGCTGGTTGGAGTGGAGATGGATGGAGTTGGTCAGTCTGTAGACTGCTGGCTGGAGTGGAGATAGATGGAGTTGGTCAGTCTGTAGACTGCTGGTTGGAGAGGAGATAGATGGAGTTGGTCAGTCTGTAGACTGCTGGCTGGAGTGGAGATAGATGGAGTTGGTCAGTCTGTAGACTGCTGGCTGGAGTGGAGATGGATGGAGTTGGTCAGTTTGTAGACTGCTGGTTGGAGTGGAGATAGATGGAGCTGGTCAGTCTGTAGACTGCTGGTTGGAGAGGAGATAGATGGAGTTGGTCAGTCTGTAGACTGCTGGCTGGAGTGGAGATAGATGGAGTTGGTCAGTCTGTAGACTGCTGGTTGGAGTGGAGATAGATGGAGTTGGTCAGTCTGTAGACTGCTGGTTGGAGAGGAGATAGATGGAGTTGGTCAGTCTGTAGACTGCTGGTTGGAGTGGAGATAGATGGAATTGGTCAGTCTGTAGACTGCTGGTTGGAGAGGAGATAGATGGAGTTGGTCAGTCTGTAGACTGCTGGCTGGAGAGGAGATAGATGGAGTTGGTCAGTCTGTAGACTGCTGGTTGGAGTGGAGATAGATGGAATTGGTCAGTCTGTAGACTGCTGGTTGGAGTGGAGATAGATGGAGTTGGTCAGTCTGTAGACTGCTGGTTGGAGAGGAGATAGATGGAATTGGTCAGTCTGTAGACTGCTGGTTGGAGAGGAGATAGATGGAGTTGGTCAGTCTGTAGACTGCTGGTTGGAGTGGAGATGGATGGAGTTGGTCAGTCTGTAGACTGCTGGCTGGAGTGGAGATAGATGGAGTTGGTCAGTCTGTAGACTGCTGGTTGGAGAGGAGATA